AAGGAAAATCGATAAAAAAACTAACAGCAAATCGGGTACCATCCACTTTCGTTCACGGTCTCATAAAGGTGTGGATTTCGTCGACGATGGAGCCAGCAGCCATTGCAAAGAAGACAACAGAAGAATGAAAGAAGAATCGACAGAATGATAGAGACGATTAGGCCGATTATGAGCAAAGTGTAATCAATCCTGAAAAATAGAATGAAGCGACTCACGTGCAGAAAATGAGAATAAAAAGCTGAGGAAAATTAGCTTGCGCTCGACACACTGCGACGCGCGCGGTGGCGACGCGGTTTAAATTTTGCTCACTTACTGGAATGTACTGCCATAGGCCACAAATCGCTCAGCTCGTGTATGTCCATCAGTGATTCGCTGTGTGTCATCAGGTCCGCAACAGTAATATCCCTGGAAATAATGTAAAGACAATCAAAAAATGAATAAAAAGAGTCATGAAAGAGATTTCAAATATAAGGTCCCATGACCGAATCGCTCTTCCCCATTACCCTGCCGAAATAGTAGCCCTGAATACCGTTTCTCCACCGCAGGAGTCGATTTCTCCGATCAGAACGAATCTCACACTCCGAATCGAGAGTTGGAGAAGGCGTGGCTGCGTATTTCGTCCAAACATAGCGTAATATGTGGACAAGAAAATGTGGACATTAAGCAAAGGCATGATTACAACTGATTGCAATCGAAACAAAAACATTCCACCATATGTGCAGCGCCGCCGCGTTCGAATGAAGTGCGCGGCTCCGCCTTCTCCAGCTTTGGGATATAAAATATAAGTGATGATTAGGAGTGAATTATGGCAGGACAACCATGCCCGTTGTGCCAGCCTCACCAACGGAATGTGTGAACATTCATGCCCTCCTGGATAACAACTTTGGTACCTTTTCAGCGTCCATTCATAGGATCAATCGATCAACAACTATAAAATTGCATTTGCAAACAAAACAGCGGTCGACTGAAGTGAATTGCGTGCAAAAACACCCGCTATCATCAAACAGCTGACGCGCCTGCAGCCCAACTAAAGTTCAGTTTGCTCATGAAAATGAACTCGAGAAGTGCAAATGGGGATGTGGTCCTGAAAGGATGGGGGACTCTTAGCCCATTTTGGCCTAGGAACACAATTCAAAGGGAGATGTAATAATGTGTCCCATTTGGCTCCTGACATACATGAGTAAAAGCGTAAGGCTATCGGCGTTGCTTGGAATGCGCCATGCATTTCCTTTTCATTGGAAAGTAGTGAATTCCGCATAAATCCAAAATCAAGGCCAAGGGTGTCAATCCAGCGGGGGAGGGGAAGTGGACCACTCTCCAGCGCGTCCGTATCCCTTCGTCTAACTGAGGCTTAGTAGAAACTATGTCGCCTCCGCGGGATCGCGGTAACTACGATCGTCTGAGCCCTGAGCCTGTGATAATTTTTTTGGGGAACGCATGCACGCTCAAGCGGTCCCACCCAACTACTTTAGCACCAGACCAAGATGACTTCAGCTTGTCGGCAACATGACTTGAATTCACCTCTATTTTCTAACCGATACAAATAGCAACCGCCTGCACGACAACAGTGTTTTAGATGTCAGTTTCGTGATCTACATGATTTCACAAATCCACCATCTATTAGATGTCATTTTAAGTTGCGGTGGTCCTGCGGTACTAGTGAAGTTGAGCAAAACTAAAGTCTTATTTTATAACTGTGCTGTTCGAGCATGGCTCATAACTCGAGAGAGGCCGTACGCTATAGAAGAGATATTCTCAGGCCTAAAAAGGGATTTCTCCCTTCACAGATCCTAATGGAGGCCAGGGCTGCCACATTTTCCCCCATCAATACGAAATACTGACAACTGAATCGTAAAATTCTCCAACAAACCTGATCTGCACCCTCAAATGAAGGACAGCACGCAAACGCGCATTCGAGCACGTGACCTTTCGACGAGGCCGGACATGTCACCTGAAGTTTGAAAAAACTTAGGACTTTAATTGAAAAAAAAACTAAAAATTACACTCGAACACCTCCTGGTTGCTTTTCGTAGCTACTATTACAGATATTATTGGCTTGTTTACTTTAATAACTTAATTATTTACACCTATTTATGCACTGTATTGCCACTTTTGCAGAATTTCACAGCAACGATTCAGAATTTGGGTTTCGTGGCTAGTCTGGGATGGGGATTTGTCTTCGGGCTTACTCTGATTCTCTGCAAGGCATACTAAATCTGCTGAGAGCTATAAGGTCTAGCACTTGAGCTACTAACAAACGGCAGTTCATCCAGTATTCAGAAGTAACACTACCGCTTTCATCGAAATTCCTTCTGTAAAAAGCCCACAAACTAAAATAACCCTCCTTGTTGTTTCACACACCCCCTCCTAGCTGCAGCGAACGTAATTTGGAGGTTTATCAAACAACAAGAAGCTAGAAGACCTATTTCACGCACACCCCTTCCCGTCGTGGTCTGCACATTTCAAAGGTTCTGAGGAATAAGAAGCCAAAAAACGGCTGAGTTTCAGACATCATTGAGGACAATGACCATGGAAGTAGCGTGGATGGTACATATGCTCTTGCGAATTTTACGGGCATTCTAATTACTTCTAACAATGTAGCTTGTAAAATTCTCTGGCTTCTTATCAAAGCACAAGTAAAGGCATTCCACGCCGATTGAATGGGCGGGGTGGGGCCTAATCGCCTACTCACCAACCCTCCACAGCGGTTGGAAAGAAGATGTACGCGTCCAAGGAAGCTCTCCCCCCTAGACGAAAAAGGGTATTTTGATCAACGCTAAGCACTTCTTATTCTATATGCTGGGAATGTTCCGACCTCTTGTCTTACTCGGGTGAGTTCTGATATCTGAAAAGAACCTTCACTACTTTCCTACTGCCTTCACTTCTTTCCTACCGCCAGCCAGACCCATAGAGCAAGTGTCCTATGGTTCTGACTGGCGGTAGAAAAGAAGTGAAAGCTGTCATATATCAACTCTCGGTCAACCGGTCGAGAGAAGGTAGCCTGGACCGGCGTGCAAGAGGACCGTATTGTGTTAGCGGTAGAATATCAAGGGATCCATTTAGAGCTGCTGCCACACGGTTCCATTCTCAAAGCTGAGACTTACTGCGAACCGCTGAGTCTTGTGGCATCTAAAGAGGATTCCGGAGGAGGTCTTCTTGTTATATCACAATGTGCGCCTACAAATAGCGAAGATGACTCGAGTGAAGTCCCGTATTCTCAATAGGGCGCTTCTGCTGCATCCACCGTGTAGCCCAGATATGCCCCCCCCTCGACTACCGGTCCCTTTAGGTTTTCGGCTCATTATTTGGGAGGTCGCCGCTTCGTCGAGGAAGGTGCCACAAAGTGGTCCCCCAGCCTTTTTGATAGCAGGTCCCCAGGCTATTCAGGAGGAGGAGATCTACAAACTTCCTGAACGCTGCCAGCATCTTATATACCGACGGAGGGTACTTCGATAAGCGAAAACTCAGCACAAGAGAAAGGAACAGTTTTAAAATGAAATTGCGAAAAGTTTCAAGGAAATCATCGACCAAGCAAAGGCAAGTATGCCGTGGGTCACTGAAACTGACGTAAAACCTGCTTCAAATCAGCTTTTTACCTGTAACCGTTCACCACTTCCTACCTTACCACTGATCAATCAATTCTTCTGGTATTCGTTATAAATAGCGGAAACCAACTATTCAATCACAAAAAGTAAAAGCAAAGTCCAAAAGTTCAATCACCTTAGCAGTAGCATATGGTAGAAAAGAGAGTAAGGCGAGGAGATAGACGTAATGGTGCAGCATCAGCCCCGTGTTTTGGGAGGGGCGTGGTGGAGCCGAGTTGACAGGGCGCAGGGCAAAGCGGGAAGGGAGAACTGGTTCGAGACCGCAATAATCGTCGATCGAGACGCCCACAATAAACGAGCGCGAGACGTGTGTGTGTTTCTACGGTCGAAATGTAACCCACCCAAGAGCCACTTTAGGGTTGGGCGAGTTTGTTGGGGTTGGATGAACTGACGGAATTCCTTGCAGACACTTCCTGTCGATTCCTGGAAACACCACCACAACACACAACACAGAAAACGTTCGCCAATGATTGCGAAGTTCAATAGATCTCCCCATTTGACTCAGCGATGATTCAGAGCCCAACAGAAGCAAGGTCATCAAGAAAAGAACTGTTTGTTGCCGTGTGCCAAGTCAACTCGCGCACTCCTGGGGGTCTCAGCATTAATCAATTACTCTGAAATCAGGGCACGTTTTGACGATTGAGAAAATCGTTCGTCCACACAACCCCCTCTACAACGACCTCAGAAGCGACAACTATCAACCAAGTATTCCAGCGTCACTCTATTTCCATACCATCGACCTGCGCAATTTTCCAGGGCAGTCTCGTTGACAGCATACCACAAAAACTTATTCCCTCCAAGAGTAGCTGATCCAACCATTTCATCAAGCCAACTATGTAGCCGCTCCCTGCTAACTACACGAGTTCCTTATGAGGCCGTCTTCCGCTCGTGACTCAGCGTTCTTGTGACGTCGCGGTCTCTTGAGAATCCCCTCTCACCTCGAAATTCCATGAGCTACAGTTTATAGTCTCAACAGAGCAGTCTCAATAGGGTGTGGATGAGCCCAGCCGCGGTATTTTTACCACTGGTTATTTTCTTCCGGAATCCATCACAAAACGATCACGATTAGTAGAACGAGGCCGGCTCATCTTGCCCCTCGTGCCACCACCCCGTCTGACTTCTTCTTCTTCTTCTCCCTAGCGTTAGTCCCGCGCCGTCGCAGGGTCCGCTGTTCTTGTTAGACGTCGCCACTTGTTCCGATCCACTGCATCTTCTGCCGTGGCTTTCACTTCAGTGAGGTCCTTCTTGATGACGTCCCTCCATCTTTTCTTTGGGGCTCCTCGTGGTCGCTTGCCCTCTACTTCGAATTCCAATGCCTTCCTTATTGGGTGGTCTTCAGGCCTCCTCAGTACGTGCCCATACCATCGCAGTCGCTGCTCTCGTGCCTTCAGCTGGATCGGAGCCGTCTGTGGTGGGTCCGCCCTGACGTCCTCGTTTCTGACTCTGTCGAGTCGTGTCAAATCGCAAGGCCATCTCAGCATCCTCATTTCAGCTGAGTGGAGCTGCCTTTCATGGTTCCCGTCCTCGTCTGACCGCGATGTTATAAATCATACCTATTTTGCTGTTATCTTAGTTGCTGAGGAATCACTGAAGCTATCTTCCAAATTATAGCGATCCAAGAGTCAAACAATGCCAAATGAAATAACTAAGAGATAAAGGAAGTCTGCGAGCAGTCACATTTTGGATCTTTTGGTCCCACCAGGAAGTCATTGCTCACGCTCCCCCTTTCCCGCCTATAAAAGCTTCTTACCGTGGTGTAATGACATAAATCGGAAAGATCATGTAGAACGAAATTATGGTTGATGGGTAGCATGCATCTCTGCGGTGCTTTCCACTCTTCTGCTCGTCATTAGTACGGGATGCTCATGCCGTCTAGACTCTTCAAGGGCTAATTCTGGGAAGGAATTGAGTCTTTATCTTGTTGTTCTTAGCTTAAGTTCCGCTCCGTCGTAGAGCTGTTTTCGTTAGACGTCACCGTTTGTTCCAATCCAATGCTTCTTCAACTGTGGCATTCACTTCAGTTAGTGCTTCTGAGATGACGTCCCTCCATCTTTTCTTTGGGGCTCCTCGTGGTCGCTTGCCCTCTGCTTCGAATTCCAATGCCTTCCTTATTGGGTGGTCTTCAGGCCTCCTCAGTACATGACCGTACCATCGCAGTCGCTGCTCTCGTGCCTTCAGCTGGATCGGAGCCGTCTGTGTGACCGCCCTGACGTCCTCGTTTCTGACTCTGTCGAGTCGTGTCCAGCCAGCCCATCTCATCTGAGTGGAGCTGCCTTTCATGGTTCCGCATATGCGCCAACTCGCTCGCTCTCCGCTGCAGAGAGCATTGCCGCTTAACGAGCATAGCCGGCCTTACCACTGCAGTACACTTCGCCTTGAGCGTTTTCGAGCACTGCCGGCTGCATAGGACGCCTGCGAACATACTTTCTCAATTCCATCCATTCACTATTTGAGCGTTCTCCGCCTGTCCCACGCTACCATATACTGCTGAATCGCTACAGGTACTGGAACTCCCTCGACCCCTTCGATGGTGTCGCCGCCGTGGCCTACTATAAGTTCGGTGCACCCTCCGGACCTCGGGAACGTGGTGCTATCCGCCAAAACTGCAGCGAAGATCCTCGACTCCCGCCCAGACCAACCAGCCTTCTACCCTCCGGAGGACGGTAAATTGGTACCAGATTCGTCTGGGAGGATAAAACACTGTACATCGGCTGGCCACCGCAAGTCATTGTATAGGCCACATCGCATTCAATAAGCCACTACGATTCTGAATGGAAGTAGAATGCGTGCCGCATCCCACAAAGGGATTGACGAAGACTTTATCCTTTATTCGCCAAAACATTGTCGTCGGTGTGGGAGGTGGTCTCGAGTGGTCCTTCCATGACTCCCTTTGCCACGACCTCCACAGTCAAGAGAAAGAGGAACGGGCTGAGGCCTGATCCCTGGTGTACCCCAACCTTTGCCAAGCTGTGAGGGGTGCGTACCACGGTCAAGCATACGTCGCGGAAT